AAACAGGCGCTCTGTCGTCTTACACAAAGCAACACAACTAACTAGTCTGAGCGTTTAAATCAGGCCTACAAAGCCAGACCCTCCAAATTAACAGCTGTTTTAGTTGCCAGTGTTTCACCATTACAAAGGTTCCAAATTACCTTTTTCAGCTTTTTAAAATATTTCTCTATGTAGACGCCCTCCCTACCAAACACTCAAATCATGTTAGAGTCATTAATGCTCTCCAAACAGAGGTATTCGTGTTGTCTCTTGAAAATTCATAATTTTTTCAAATTATAGATTGCAGGACAGCAAAATACAGTCGTGACTCGATAATCCGACCCTTAACAATCCTAAACCTGCTATCCGACAGGTTTTTAGGAAAAACTAAGAGAACCCATAAGAAACAGCCTTAACATACCGACAGCCTTGGATTCTGACTCCGACATGACATTTCAAACAGAACTGTAACCGCTATCCTAAACTAGCATCAGCAGCCAAGTACTGCCTGTGTGTTCCGGCCACTTCCACCCCGTCAGAGCGCTGCCCCGGGGTGGAAGTGTCCCCCTACCACCCTGAATATTCTGATATTCATCATTAATTGGGCCTGAATATCCAGAGACCATAAAGTGCTATTGGGACCAGCCCTACTAGTTATTATAACAACTATGAACAATAATTAACAACTAATGAGCCTTCCAGCATCAAGCCCTCCTTGTATCTGGACCTCCGTCTTGACAATCCGACAGCCTTGCTGTCCGACATAAAAGAAGGTTTTACATTTAGTGTCGGATTGTCGAGTCACGACTGTATTGTAATGTTATTTTTTCCCCATATTATGCAACCTTTTTCTTATCTCTGCTGTTATTTTTTTGTCTTCGTAACAGTTACTATGGACAGATGATTTATATATAGAGACCACCCTGAGTATGACCTTCTTAGGAACACTTTACTTTATTTGCTCACAGTTATATATACCCAGAGTCACCTGTATGGATTAGATGTGAAACTGACATGGCAGAGACATCCATATTCAAACACATACTGAGCAGGAACATCATCTGTTTTCTGCTGTTGATGGAAGGCTGAGTTATCCTTCTTGTGTTAGCATTGCCTCACAACACAGATTTGACCTTGACAAAAAAAAATACGATACGAAATGACGCAATATAGCTCGACATGTGTTGGTTAAGACCGCTGCGCCATCCCATGTCACGATGCACCTAAATGCAAAAACAGTTTTATAGAGGTGTATTCATGGTAGTTTTTGCCTCTCGCAGTCATAATGCGAGCCAACTGTAGGATATATCTGTGTGTTTTCTCCTCGCTGTTTGTTTCATTATTAATGAGAGAGAGTGAGGGAACAGCACCATGTATCATATTCAGAGGGAAAAGCGGGGGTCCGCGGGGAGAGCATCACGCAACAGGAAACACTGCAAACTTAAGGGAAAAGGTCCTACGAGAGGTTTTCGGTAAATACCAGTATTCTGTGGCTTCTCTCTTCACGAGAAACACTTCCAGACAGTCGATGCGCGGCAGGGAAATGAGCCCGCTCGCCCGGCGTAGCTCTGCCTTCTTCCAGTCTGCACAGTCATGCTGTCATTTTAAGCTCCTGTGCCATCACCGGGACCATGCGGTTTGTGATGATGCACGGCGGCATGTGGTCGCCATTTTCAGAACCATTAACCTTTGGGCTAACATGAGCCTTCCCCAGGATGTTTGTGTCTGCGCGCTTGAAGTGTTTGTTAGATTTTCCTGTAAAGTTTGGATTGCAATTATATTCGGGGAGATCCAAGCAGTCGTAGTTACTGTATTTACATGTCTCTGTCTTTGTGTTTGGTGGCTCCAGACTGGAGTGATTTGCTGCACTGTGCTGTTCTCCCCACAATGAGGGGAGCATGGTGGGAGATAATGACACAAATCCTCTACCAGGGCCAGCCTCTCTAATTACACCCACTCTTCTGGGAAGCTTTCACACTATTAACCTTTGTTAACTCCTCTTGTCAGGATTATTGCCATTTTTTTTTTAAATCATTTACTTTACCATATATACTTGTTGAAAATGGGGTCACGTATGAATATGTATCGTCCATACTAATTTGTTTTTTTTGCTTATAAATTGCCAGAAAACCCTCAGCGAATGGGAGAGCGGTCTGTTGTTAAGCTGGCCTATACAGTGCCCTACTTACCTGATTTTATTTTCGTCCCTACAGATCGGCAGTATGTTCCTGTAGTATACTACCTTCAAGTTTGTGCTCGACTGCCTTGGCATGACGGCTCCCTCCTCTATTGCTCTGTCTCTCTCTGTTTCATTTGTTTATTTGCATGGGATTAGGTTTTATATCCCCAAAGCAGAAGATGAATGAAAGGGTTAGATGTGCTGCTGGGTGATTGGAGCGGCTGAAACTATGCGTAAAACGCTCCACCTGTTAACACCAAAGCGCTTCAGTAACACAATGTTACTGTAACCGGGAGCCTCACTTAACACAATATGTAGTTCATGTATTGACTTGCCAACCGCACAGAACACTACCAAACTGGGTATCTGCACACTGCAGCTGCTTATGTCTGACAATGTATTTTGCAGAGCTAAAAATTGTGCACCCCATAATTCCCCCAAGCACCGCGCATAGAAACAAGCATAGTAAACGAACACAGCATACAGCTTCTCTTAATTAATAGATTGTTACCCGGCGCTTCTCCCGAGCACCTCGTCGACAGAACAATCAAAAGAAAGCACACCAGGAAACATTCCTCATTTTCCATTGTTGCTTGATTTTCTTTGTGCATGACATCTGTTACTAAATTTTGCAGCTGAAATGAATAATTGACTCACATTATGAGATCGGCGAGCGCGTTCTGGACACCGGGGAGGTTACTCAGGGCTGTTTTTAGACGAGCTGGGTGGTCGCCTTGGGCACCTGCTGCTGGAGCGGCGCCAGAGAGTGGAGGAAGTATTTTGTAATTAATTTTAAAGGCATTTTCTACTCTTAAAAGTGTGCCATTGACATCCACCTGACACTGAGAGGAGACTACAGACAGACTGGAGAACGGCACTCAGGAAAAGATAGCATATAATGAAAAACAATGATACAGCCTGATAGGAAAGTAATGCAATCAGGCCAGGCATTCTGATTACTGGGTTGCCTGTCAGCTATAAATCAAGATGTTTGTTGCTGGAATGGCATCTGTCAAAGTGCAGCGCTGCCTTAGACACTGAAGGCTTTGTAGGTGAGTTATCTGGGTATTGAAAAATGTTTATGTGACAGCAGTAGTAGTAAATGATGGAAGCGGGGCGTTTGTTTTTAGTGGTTTGCTGGCAAACAGACCTTAAAAGTGCTGCTATTGGTTGAAAACTGAGGTGTTTGTAGACCGATGCGTCGGTCGGCTAATGTCGGCATATCACACATGTATGGAAGCCGCATATATGAAAACTTTTATTAACAGAACAGAGTGCAGAAGATGATGCTTGGGGTGTTTTAGAAATCGTTTGTCCAGCAAAGCGACTCTG